GAGATACGATCATTGATTATCAATTTTCAGTAATGCTTTTAATTTAACTCCACGCCGAACAAATGCTGGTGTGAATTAGCTTGTTAAAACTTTAAGGTTACGAATGTAACCAGTGGTCGAAGTGGGAGGGGGGATACGGAGGGATGACATCCCTCTACTTTTTTGTATTTACATTTTTCATCCCTCTACTTATTTTGTATAGAATAACGCATTCCTCCTAAGACTTGTGTTTTAAAATGAAACAATTATTATGATTTTTATATTTATACCTATGTATAAGAAAACTTTTTATTTTTCGTATAGGCCTAAATCTGAATTGTAAGGCATCCCTCCACTTATTTGGAGCCATTTCGACCACTGAATGTAACCTATTTTGCAATTCGAGAGTAAGCCGTGAAACACGTTCGCGCCCAACCTACCTTTTTACATGCTATCAACGCAGCTCGGTTGTGCTCCGTGAAATACACATAGGTCTTGCCCTTCTAACAGTCGTAGATTTAAACTTAAATTTGAAATAATTAAAAATATTGTTTGCCGCATAGTTACTCATATCTACAGATAAGATAAATTATAATAATAAAATATTCTCGATGATTGCAGTGCTTACTACTTGTTTACACGTATAATATAATAATAATTAGATACTTAAATAACTGTTAGCTCATAGCTATAGTCTCTGTGTTACTGTGTATATTCTATATGATAATACATGTATAATGGTAATTATGAAAAGTAAACAATCATGCGAAGAGCGTTTTATCGCTATAAAATTATATAAATTAACTTGGCTGGGTGCAATTCTGGTCAGTCGTGACTTGTGGGTGATAAATGCGAATTTTGCAGATTCGGGAACAATACTATAATATTTACAATCTTCGAATACTATGATTTTATGGATGATTAATTGTCTGTCTGATTCGTTTACTCTGATATGTACCACAGTGGTGGGTTTACTGTTCTACTATTATTCGACAGCCACGTACGAAAAATGGAGGAAAGCTAACGTGCCGCATTTGAAGCCGGTACCGTTGTTCGGGAACTTTTATAGAACGACGATGATGCTTGAAAGTCTTAACAATACGTACGACAAAATTTACAAACAGTTTCCAGATGAAAAAATGTGTGGGTTTTATCAGATGAGGACGCCTTTCTTGATGATTCGAGATCCGGAAATTATAAACAATGTGCTCATCAAGGACTTTTCGCACTTCACAGACCGTGGGTTTGAAATGGACCCATCTGCTAACTTTTTGGGTAGCAGTTTGTTCTTCACAAATGGCCAAAAGTGGAAGATCATGAGACAAAAAATAAGCCCGGGATTTACATCCGGTAAACTCAAGCTGATGCACAGTCAGATTAAAGAATGCAGCAAAGAGATGATAAATTATATCGATAGGAAATCGAAGACGACTGATCAGTTTGATGTGCACGATATCATGAATAAATATGCCACTGACGTAACTGGGACATGTGCTTTCGGTTTGAAATTAGGCAGTATGACAGACGAAGACAACGAATTTCGAAAGTTTGCGAAATTGATATTTAAACCATCGTTTAGGCTAATTTTTGCCAACACGTTGGTAATGATTTCACCAAAAATATCGAGAATATTAAAAATAAATCCCACCCCACCAGAAGTTGAGGATTATTTTATTTCATCATTCAGAGGTGTAATCGAGTACAGAGAAAAGAACAATGTGAATAGGAACGATTTGGCCCAAACATTAATGCATGCTAGGAAAGAACTGATACTAAATAATAACTCGTATCCTGAAGGTAAGGAATAATGAATATAATATAATATATATTATATAGAGAGAATCGTAAACAACTAAAAAAAAATGCTGTTATTAAATTATTGTTCAAAATTATCTTTTAATTTTGAATTTTTTTTTTTTTTGGTAGAGAAATTTACAGAAATGGATATTATTTCAAATGCAATTATAATGTACTTTGCTGGTGCCGAACCGGTATCCGATACGTTGGGATTTTGTTTACATGAGTTGGCAATAAATAAACAAGTACAAGACAAATTGCGTGAACATATCATCACGAAGATGGAAAAACATGGTGGTGAATTTACCAACGATTATTTGATGGACCTCCATTACGCTGACATGGTTTTATCAGGTAACTAAATTTCTTTATAATTTAAAGCGTGTCTTAAAATATTGTTTACTTAGATACATTCAATATTTTTTCAATAAATAAACAGCTACATATTCTATTATTTTTTAATATTTTGAATTATATTATAGAAACATTGCGCAAGTACAACGGGTCACTTAATATATTTAGAGTAGCTACTCAGACATACCAAGTCCCGGACTCGTCATTAATTATCGAAAAAGGTCAACAAATATTAATACCGGCTTACAGCATTCATCGTGATCCAAAATATTATACTAATCCTGATGTTTTTGATCCGGAAAGGTATTCTCCGGAAGAAAAATTAAAACGACCTAGTGGCACTGATTTGTTGTTTGGGGACGGGCCTCGTTTTTGTATAGGTATTATACATTTTTATTACCAGTATTTTATTTTTGTTTTATTGACTTTTTGGTTTTTAGGTAAGCGTTTGGCTGAATTGGAAATGAAATTAGGTTTATCAGAAATAATTTCGAAGTTCGAAGTTTTGCCGTGTGAAAAGACTGAAAATCCCATTCAATTGGCAGCTGGAGATGCAATTAGACCGAAGAATGGAATTTGGTTGAGTCTGAAACCAATTGTTGTTAATTGTTAATCATACCTGGATATATATAATAGAGTAAAATATAATTGGGTAGAGTCCATATAAAAAACATGCATATTAAAAATTAAAAAATTATATTCAACGGATGGAAAAATAAATATTTAGATTAAAAATAAAGTTTTAACTTATCAGTTATCAGTTATTAGTTATTCTTATTATACTATATAACATAATATATCAAATGTTTTATTGAATATAACGTTGATATTAATAATTTGTGGTTTAAAATGTATTGGACAAAGACAATATGGTCGTTTTAGTGACTGTGGATACGGTATACTTATACTGTCAGGCCGTTGATAAGAAATGTTTTGTCTACTCCATTTTTTAGATTCCGAGCGGAGTCACTTTCTATTAATTTTACAATGCTGAATGTTTTTTAATTTTTAATTTACTTTACGTTTGTCATCACGTTTTGGGTCAGTACAATTTGCTTAGATTTTCTTCAACAGCATATTTTCTGCTAGGATTAAAAAAATTACAAATTACAATTTCAGCTTGCCAAAAGTGAAAAATTCCCCATAACTTTTTTAAATCGGTTGTAAAAACAAACTGTTGTTTCTGATTCTCGTTATTCCTTAATTTGTTAATTAAGGAAAAACGAGAATCAGTACGATAACCCGGTTTTTGAAAAAATTGATTTTGGTTTTTGATGTAAGTCTAAAAAAATATCTTAGGTATATGAAATTTTCACTGATTATTTATATCCCCATTTTCTTCAAAACATTCAATTTTCCAAATATTTCGACTCGTACTTAAATATTTATAGGCATATGACATTTTTGATTTTTATTTGTTTTTTATAAGCTAACGTTGAAATAAAATTGTTCGCTCATTCTAAACACTTGAAAATGTAATACAAAGTTCCTCGCAAGTTGCTCTTATTTTAGATTAAAAAAAACAATGAGCGTAAGTGGACAGTAATTTTTAATGAGCGTTTGATTTAGTATTTTGACAAAATTCGTAAAAATCACGAAAATTTGCAAATTACTTTGAATTAGAAATTTATGAAAATTTTCTTCTTTATATCTTAGATTTTAAAATGTAATACAAGACTCCTTATAAGTTTATCTACCTTTAAAAAAAAATTCCATCGCAAAGTTAAGTTAAATTTTTACGAGCGCTTGAAGTTAGAAATTTTTACAACATTTTTTATTCACTCGATTTCTCATATTATAGCGGTATTATTATTTTGTTGTAATTCAAAAAGGAATCACTGCAGGTAATTTAAATTAACACCATATTTTAATTTTATTAATTCATATGCTTGACAATAAGCTCAAAATATTTTGACTCATTTTAAGCTGTTGACGGACATTTTCAATTTTTTATTTATTTTTATATATCATTAAAAATGTACAAATAAAATTACAGTTTAAAATTTTTAAAATGTTCAACTTGGATAGCTTATACCTTATAGGAATGACGATTTAAGAAAATGTTCAACTTAAGTACGTTATTCGCTGTATCCAAAAAATTAAAAAATATATAAGCACATTTTTTTTTTAGTTGTTTTATGTTTAAATGTGGACGAAATCATAGGTATACTAAATAATCAAGAATGACTTAAGTTTTTTTGTTGTAATTTAAAAATATTATTCGTGGTTACTATTCCAGGGGTGGATATATTTATAATACGGCCACATATACCTAGCGCCTATACATTGTTTATACCTATAAAAAAATTTAACTTCTTTTGAGTTTTTTCGTTGGCATATTTAGTCAACAAATCTTGATTCATTCTTTTTCACTTTGAAGCAACACTTTCGAAATTTCGTTTAGACATAATTAATAACTATCATATACCTAAATCATTTAATAAGTTACAACACAATATTAGCAAAGCCACTACAGTCACAATAGCAAATAGGAAAAGTAAATAACACCTGAATACCTGATTAAATAGTAAATATTATAGTGCTTGCTTACTCTATAGTTTTTTTTTTTTTGGATTAAGATTTCAACTACTAAGATCATTAGCCTGATACTGTGTGGGGGGGGGGGGCACGGTTGGTTGGAACACGTTTGTATATTTGGCAAGGTTGTGTTGCTATAAAAATACGGATTACACCCATCCGAGTGCTAGCAACAACGGCCGGTACTTATTAATGTTGATGTAAGAACAAATGATATTTTAGACATTCAAATTATAATTTTTTTGAAAATAGAACTACATTGCAAAAAAAAACCTAGTGATTGACACAATTAAAAAAAAAAAATAAATAAAATAAAATCCTATAATGTGTTATATCTTGGTAAATTGAATAATTGAAATCAATTTCCTTTTTGTAAAGGTTATATTAACCTATTTCAATGTTTACCTTGATGATTTTATAAATCTGAATCGAATATAGGTCTGATTGTTTGTCTTGCATCAAATTTAATGTCTGAAATACATTTTTAAAAAGAATTCAATTTTTTTATGTAAAATATATGATATTATATTAATAGATATTACTACCTTGGCCGTTTTGTAAGCTACTATCAAAATGTTATCCAATCAACTGTAGAGTTATTTGACTTGTATCTAGTACCAAATATAAAATACAAAAATTGTCAGATAAAATTATAATATTTGTTCTGTACATGCACCATTGTACCTATATAAACATAAAGCTTTAAACACATAATCTTTGATCTTCATAGAATAATGAAGAACATACTAACTTATATTCTCCTCTGATTCTGACTTTCGGCTATCATAATAGGTAAATACGTTGGTAACTGCTAAAATGAATATTAAAAATATTGATTAGATATTTACTAAAACTGTATGTATTACAACCATATTATTATGGGAAAATTCAAAATATAAGTATTTACGTCTGGCGTGAAAATTGCTACCTACTACCCTAAAAAAAAACATTTGAACTATTAATAGGTATCACAAATACATGTGACTTTAGAATAAGCTATCTTCTTCAGATTTATGACCAATATGATTTCGATAAAACTTAACCTTAAAAGTAATCAAAATATTAATATTTATACATAGGTAAAATTTATAATTTTCACCTTCTTGTTAATTTTCTCTCTGATAATTATTATTATTACTTTATTAATTATATGAATTACTTAATGACTTGTATCAATTATTTAATGATATGATTGTTTGATATCGTTAAATACTTCTCATTTTGTGAAATAATAAATGCTTAAAGTTTTTTCTCAATAATTAGGTATGATTGTTTCATATTTATTGTTTACAATTATGATTATCATATTGTGAAGTAGGTACCTAATTAGTAATTACCCATATTGTCGTTTGCTTGTTTAATTTTTTTATTTATTTCAGTTTCTGGCCTTTTCTTCACGTATTATAATTGTATTGTTTGAATTTCCAAAGAAAAAACCCTTGTAGGGTGGATGCATTACTTCCGGGAATAATTTGTACAGTGCGTCGAGGACACGATTTATCGTACATCGTCTTTTTATAGACAGGGCGGCTACTGGTTGCATAAATCCACCGATTGTCGTCTCCTTGCTGCAGTGTTTAGCCATTGTTACCCGGTCTTCTTCATCAATGCTAAGATTTACATTCTGGTAAGAGTTTTTCGCAATTATTCCCATCATTACATTATCGTCGTTTTCGATCGGGCTTATGTTTTCTTTGTAACATATTCGATGGCAATAATCGTCACAGTCTATGCATTTATAGACCGATTTAAACATATTTATTTTACTACAATAAATACATTTATGAAATCCGAATAAAATATTGGTTTTTTGGAAATTATGAACCCGGTTCATGGCAGTATATTTTTTTTGAAACTTGGTTTTCCAATGTATTTAAGATTTAAATAAAACGTTTTGACGTTGCTTAGTGCGTACTTCAAACGAATAGTATTATAGGTATATAGGTAATATATGTTTTAATCGATTTATTCATTTCAGCCAAAGTCAGAGGTCAGGGTTTTTTTTGTTTTAAGCGTGTTGCTATTTTTATGGATCAAAGTCAAGTTGTCAAAAAGATTGAAAACCATCGATTTTTAACATACAGGCATGAAGTACAATAAAATGTAGTCACTACTTTGGTATAGCACACACATTCGGACATTTATTTATTTATGCTGAAAAGATGCACATCTTAAAAACAAAAATGCTTTATTCTAGTTAATTATAATAAAAGTAGGGTAATATACAATAATAATGTATTATTAATACATTTATATAAAACTGAAGATATAAATTAAGAATAATAATATTATATGGTTTGTATTATAGTATAAAATAAACAAAAAACAACAATTCAGAAAACGAATACCTATTATTACGTAATAATTTGATAACACATTTTCTCAAAAAAAAAAAAACAACACAGAATATCAATTTTGGTTTTGTCAACAACATTATACTTACATCTATAACAAAAATTATAATTATTTCTTACTAGTCTACTATAAGGTTATAACAAGGCTCGTATAGACAGTATCGGATTAACAACTTACGTACCACGTTTTATCTATAGGTAGGTATATAATTTGTATGTTTAAGTTTTTGAATGGTATTTTATTTTTGTAACTGTTGTGAATACGATACACATAGTACATATCCATTTATAACAGTTTATATAACACAAGAATACAAAAGTATTTTTTCAGAGTTATAAGACAGCAGTAATAATATATTGGCATTGTAGAAAACATATCTTTGTTACTCTTGAAAATATGATTATTTGTACATTTATAATAAAAACACTTAGATTAATGTAAGATAAAATATTTAATTATTTACAAATTATTATCGGGTTTTTACTCGTCTTAAATCTATATCTCAAATGTCTATTAGAATAAAAAAAATCTTAACATATCTAAAAAATGCTAACAAATTTGATTTACAGGTGTGCTGTCGAGGATGTGGCAAGTACGTACATCAATGGTAAAATTAATTACATTTTAACAATAATTGTGTTTATCATCATTTATCGACAGTATGACAGTCCTACATTACTGTTGAACTGTCGTAAGTTGTTAATGGCGTATGGCATAAAACGACAAATATTAATCTGTTTTACTTTTTTATGAGAGTATATCTGGTATAATATGTATTAGGCATTAGGTATACCTAAACAATTTTAAATTGTAGGAAAAGTATATTCGATTAAAATTTCTAATGGTTCTGATGACGTATAATATAATCATAATGATTACTGTTATTATTACCTAGTCATTAAACGCTATATTATACTTTTATAACTATCGTATGGGTGACTTATTCTTCCATATTCACCATATTATCGATAGTATTGATGGTTTTTTCTTTTACAGGCAATGTGATTCGAACGTTGTATGCAAGTTTTTTTCCACGTATGAAACTATAACTGTTGTCGAATACCACCGTATCTGTCGGAACACAAATCATTAGACAATTAATATTATTTTAGTGATTTCGAAAGGCATATATAGGAAGAGCTAGAATTATTATTTGTTTTAATATCAAACGTGGATAAGAATAATTCTGTATTAACTTACAAATTTTCTATCAAAATGATATCGAATATTTAAAGTTTAAACTTTAAACCATTATTAATAAAATATATGATAATAATAACTATATTCATTAAACATTTGATATTTATGCGGTTCTAATGCATATAACTGTCATTTATAAGTATTTTTCTTCAGATCATAAGAAGTTAAAAGTACTGGTTCCTATAGGTCAAGCTGATAATTAATTTTTTTTTAAAATAAACTCAGAAAAACTTAATAATATATCGTATAAATCAAACAAAAAAGTATTGTTGGTTGAATAGCAACAAGATTATTATCAAGTTATTCTATTTTTTTATTATTATGAATGTGGTTTTTATTTCAGTGTACTTAAAAACTAAAAGATAATAGTCATTTTATAGAAAAATAAGGCCTGAATGAAAATATTCAAGAAAATATATTAAATTTTACAAAAAATACTCCTTGAAATAATGAATGTTAACTGTAGAAATATAATCATGTTGTATATTAAATATATCATTACATATGTGTTTGACTTGTGTGAAAATAACTTTGCTCCAATATATTATAATAATATAGATAGGTAATAAAAAACCAATTACATTCTCCGGTATGTTTGCATTTGATTACTCCAATCTCTTCAAACTCGTGGCATGCGACTTTCTTTATCGGCATAATTACTGTTTGTATATTTTCTGAATCTGTTGCTAATATACCAAATTTGATATCATGTCCCTCGGTTTTGAACTGCCACCTTATGAACAATAGATAAGCGTTCATAAAAATAATAAGATCAACTAGACTTCTGTGTTTGTTTATTTTTTACTTTTGACTTGGCAAAGTCCATTTTTTTTTGGAAATCATGTATCATATAAATGTATTATTATAATTGTTTAACCTTATAAACATTAATAATTAATGAGTTTATTTTTTCAAAATTTTACTTGATATGTTTGCCAATCAAAGAATTTAAAAGTTATATTAATATTTGAATGTAAAATTTACCTCAGAAAACTTTGTGGTACAGTAACTGTATATTTCAGGTATAGTTTATCGCCTTTCTTTATATTTACTAACGTCATGTCATCAGAACTTGTGAGTTTTTTGTCATTTTTTAAATATAGTTCCTTTGGCACTTTTCCTCCTTGGTTTATCTAATAACATAATAACATATTGAGATTGATGGATGATAACAAATAAAGTGATCAAACAATAATAAAACGTATATTAACATCGATATTCGGTATATTATTGTTGAATATTAAACCATGTTTGACTCGTAGTATAAGATAATAATTATATACCTCAATAGTACCGTATAGACAATATTATTATACATGTTATAATATTCATAAATATGTGCAGTCTAATAAATTCATAATCGTTCGGAATTTCAGACTCAAACGAAAATAAATCATCATAATAAAGCACAAACAAACGGCTAAAGTTTGATTTTGAAATTCCGTGTTGGCGGGCTGTCATTTAAAAATGATTTGTGTTAAGCCCCTTTTAAGCACTATATTATCCTTAGAATAAATATTTAATAATTGAGAAACTACCTACTCTTTCAAAATTTGAATTGGGTTCATCAACATTTTCTAAACATTATCCACTAAATAATTGTCAATAAAAAAGGGGGTGCCCGTTTGAAAAATAGAAGTTTGTATCACCATAGAACTTTCCTTAATTATTACAAAAAAAACAAATCAAGAATTTGATAAAACGTCTGAGTATATTTAAAAATTCCATAAATCAGAATTTCAATAATTTCAATATTAATGGAAAAAATTGTGGTGTGAATGCTTGGTGAATTATCCTGTATAATATTATATATAGGTGTATTGTGCAGTGTACGATATATAGCAGTTAATACATTTTATTTACTGCTATGGTAGTATGGTCTATTAGATATACCTACATATTATAGCATTATACTCATGATATTATCGTGATATGAAACGTGATCGCATGTGTGATCGTTTATGAACGAAATAGTGTCTAGCTCTTAATTAGTAATAATTAATAATAATATAACGTCCAAGTTAACATAGTATTATGCTTACAATGACGGGGCACCAGCCGAGTCGATCGTTCTTGTGAAATAATACGCTCTTCGTATTTTAAACGATAGTTACTTGCGCGAATTTCCTAAGTCGGTAGCGATAAAAGTAAAAGGATCGAACAAACGACCACAGAGGCGTAAGTACATACTCAACGCGCATTATACATCATATTATACGTAAATATAATATGTTTGACGATGCGCGTGTCGTGAACGTTTATGAAAGGTGTATTAAGCTATTATATGTTATGTTATTTTTTTTTATGGTCATGGTCTTAAAAAGAGATAAAAATAATAATTATAAAAAACATTTATTGCACGTTTCCGCGGTGCGCTATCAAAGCCAAATAAGCCGAGTGAAGGTAATTAACAATTATTGGAAACAAAAAATCGGATAATCATTTTCTACGCGTGAGCCTTGAAACTTCTTGGTTAGAGGGTTCTTAAAATCAATGGCGTAAGTATTGGCTGCGTATGGTATTTTCGAGTTGCAACTCATTTTTCTATAGAATTTAAAGAAACGCGAAATCAAAATATTTTTGTCTAAATGGATTATCAATTGGAAAAAAATTGTACATTATTAAGCAGTGCCGTAACTACCCTCCGAGGCGCACTTGGAATATTTAATTTTGGCTCTTATTTTTGTCTTATTTTATAGGTATAATTTTCAAATAAATGTAAAAATATTACATTCTCACGTGTTAAACATTTTAAGACGTGTTTTGACTTGCCTTTGTGGTATATCTTGGGTCGCCGTCGGGATCCCTTTGATCACCGCCCAAAAACGCTGGATACTGGTCACTATCGATGGTACTTGCCAACACAGGCTTCCACTTGCTCGGGTCCGCCTTATATATTATGAACTTGCTCATTGTGTTGCCAGTGAGTATGTTTTTAAGTATGTTGAACGCAAAAGCGAACACTTTGGGAGCTGAAAACAGTAAAAAGAAAAAATATGTAACATAATGGTACGTCTTATGTGTGCGTAGTCTGTCTACATGTGTTTTGTCCGGGAAGTGATCTGAGGTGAGAAAAATGATATACATCAACAATTCTACTCACCATTAATCGCGTGACATGCCTTCAATATTTCTGGGTAATTGGCCTCGTACATTTGTAACAAGTTGATTGTCATCTCGGCCGCTATATATTATAACAATAAATTATTGTCAATGTCACATTTTAGTTATTTAAATTTTAAGTGGTTCCTTATAAATATAAAATATGATTAGTATTCCCTTATATGTATGCAATTAGCTGTGTATCTCAACGTGACGACGTACCGATAGTGCACCAATGTACCATAGAGAGATCAGGGAGAATATTTTGAGTGACTTAACACACGAAAAGAAACAGATTAAAATTTTAATATAATATTGTGAAGATGGCGTGTGTACATGCATTTTTTTTAACAATATTTAGAAACGTAATAAGTTTTGACCTCCGGATAATATCTTATATTGCTCAAGATAATCGCAAAACGAACACCAGCTGTATCGAGAGCTATCGATCATTAACAGCTCCTGTTTGACACTTATTTAAATAGGTAGTTACCTAAAAAGTTTACCGTGACACGATTATTGCAATACGTGGACATATGGTATTAATGAGGTAGGTTTTAGTTGGATGATGCCATTTAAAAAATATTAATATAATTCTACACGTTTAACTCTGATATAAAATATATCGGATTCATCAACACTCAAGAATAGATAAAAACTGCCACGATCATAAATGTTAGTCATACTCGAGGGAAAATACTGACTTTTAATTAATTGTTATGTTGTTGTTTTTAAAGTGACTTGTACAATTACTTTGTAATTAAAGTTGTATTATGGTGTCTAAAATGAAGTATAGTTTAATACATACATTTAATAATGAACAGTATGATGCTCTAAAATTATGACCATATAAAAACAATAAAAAGTAAATGACTGGTTAAATGATATATTTCTTTAAAACAGTACCGTAACCAGAAATGTATTAACCTACAGTCCTAAACTTTTTAAGACAATAGCTGTGGTAAAAATGTGTAATCAATAAAATATTTATGTAAATGATAATTTATCGTGGTTGCACCTGATATGGGAGGGGGCACATGCGGCTGCGACCCCAAACTATCTGCCGTGCCTGCTTTATGGTAATTTATAATCGTAGTATTCTCATTATTTAAATTATTCCAAATATACAATTAACTCTTAGTGACTTAACATACAAATATAACACTTTAAAACTATCCATATATTACTATTCTTTTTTTAAAAAATATTATTACTTATACTATAATTGTGTTTCAATGTTTATCATAGATATTCTAACTTCTATACGATTTCGATGAGTTAGATACCTACTAAGGATTAACTGTGTTGTTCGTAGTTGAGTAATATATTTAAATACAAAACTATATAGTTAAAGCGGTGAGTCGATGATTTTATTATTAGAATAAATGTTTAAAAAAATCTAAAATTTTACATTTTTTTTTTTAAATTGTGACTTAGAGTTGACTTTTATTTTTTTATTTCTTTAGGGACAACAACCAATTACCTTTATTTTTAAAATTTTTTTTTTGTACAATATATTTTTATAAACATTTTGACTTCTAAAAATATTCAATATTGAAACAACTGTTTTTTTTTTATTTTGGTTTTTGACTCGAATTGTAAACGTTAGTACATGGATATATTATGTACTTGATATCAACTATGCAATATAATATGGCAAGAACTAGTATAATGGTGCTCACATAATAATGAATAATTTACCTGGTCTCCATGTGAATTGCCTGAGGTTGAAGTCGGTCAGGTCGACGATGCAGCACACCTGCGAAGCTTTTGGACCATGCTTCAGCGATGATTGCCTGGCCACTTCTAAGTACGAGTCAAGCTTTTGTGCTAAGAACCTGACCATGTCCTTTGGTGGGGCTGATTTGAGCAGGCCACACACGTCGAACCCGGCGAACGGAAGCACGACCACAGGCGATCCCTCCTTGTCATAGCCGCTGATACCACTCGGCATGTAATCGACCAGCACTTGGGGTGGCTGCCAACCGTCATCTTTGTTGATCGACCACTCTTCCCGCCATTTCATTGACTACAATTTATATAATAAAATATTCACTATACAGTATACTTCAGCAAACAATTTTTTTTTATACTGAACGAATTTATTCAAATTGTACAAACACAATTTTACTCAAAATATGATTACATATTCGAATAACAAGATGTAATCTTGACTGCTCGACAACGGTATTCATAAAATATTTTTGATACTATACAGTAGGTAATAGGTATATACTGAATACCTACACATAATTTAATAAGTATTCTGAAGATTTTAAGAATTGACTCAATTTGATAGAACTATATTATATATTATTATTAAACTTTTCATTCGAATAAAAACATCAAATAGCTAAGTCCTCATTCAGTCACTTTTGATTAAGTGCTTCTGAATATTATTTCTGAATCGTATATATATATTTTATTAAAACTACACTACTCACTGTTCTCAACATGTCTTCTGCTAGTTTAGGATCGAAGTTTCGAGCTGTAAAATATAAAATGAAATAAATGTAATATTAATTTAAAAATAAGTTCAATATGCATATTTATATACAATAGAGTTACGTAAAATATATTTCATGACATATCCATATATTATTTTTTGAATATTACTATCAACTATCAACTATAAAATAAAAATTCATCAAAGTCAAACTTTTGGCTATCCATTTTCAAGTCTATTTGTAAATTGAATCGACGTTTGTGGTTTATGTTGTGTACTTGTGTTACATGTACCTGGCGGCGTGCAGGTATTTAGATATTAAATACGTTAGTGGGTACTCCCACATTAATAGTTGTCCTTAAAAACGTCTGCAATATTATACTATTTAATACGTATTTAATATTTATTAATCATATAGTATATTGACTATAAGACTGTATGAAATATTATCTTGTGAAGTAGGTCAATATTTTTGTGATATTTGGTCGTCATACGCGGATGCTAGATAATTAGCAATGCATAATTTATGCACTCTGGTAGAGTGATGCTAAATTTTACTGCGTCTATTCTTAATTATTGAATATACCTACCTGCTTATAATAATCAGCTACCTACCGATATCTAAACGATTGTCGAATCAATTAAATATTTAAACATGATGAAGGTCACATGTAGGTAATGTCGATGTTAATAAAAATGTCGTTCACCCTATTGTTTTGCTTTATTCGTGAGATTATCAATTTACATTTAATATTTATAGGTAAGAACTTAGTACTATCTATATAATATATATTATTATACCTACATATATCATTATTGACTATTTTACAGTGAAACCTGCATTAACGGACACCTCACGGCTCACATGAACGAACAATTGATAAGGACATAATATGATAATGTCTCGGAAAAAAAGACGGGTATTTATATGTGCCCGTCTATATATCAGACACCTGTTTATAACGGGAACTTATGACGGTCATGTGGCTGTCCGTTATACGTATACAGGTCCCACTGTATGTAGAGTTATAGAAACAGAAGATGTTGATATAATATTGTCATAGGTAGTCGTTTTTCTAATGAACCCGGAACCCCGCAGGATAATGACACATAGAGATATAGTTAAATATAGACAACCAGCATACCACCATTGATAACGCACAATATGTGGATAACTTGAGAAGGCTTTGCATAATTCTCTGATGAAACCGAATTTTTTTCTACTTTTAAATAGCACGTATTATTATACACCACGCGTTTAACTCGAGTCAGTGAACTTATCGGCGCATAATAAAATACGGCCATTCACTTTAAAAATGCAACGGTTATCGTTTGTTAATTTAAAAATAGGCCTGTGCCCTATTCTAATCGTACAAATTTCATACAATATTAAGTAACAAACTAATACAATGTACACTTGTGTTTCATAAATCATTTAAAATAAGTAAAACTATTACCTTCGAGCCATCTGAGTAAAAAGCAGTCATCATATTTATCATCCAATTTCAAGTCTGCAACGCTTCTTCGCAACTGAAACAACGCGAATGCAATATTATTGTTACAGTTCATAATATCGACTTATTGTATTTTTAAATGTATATCATACACAAAACTTGTCACTCAGCATTAGTTCCTCCTCGGATTAATATAATATAATTTTAGTTATTGTTAAATAATATAAGGTGTTGTGTGTATGCGATCTATCTGCTGTAGCGTGCATATATAGTAGTATAACTTTAATGTTATAGGCTATTTATTTTATATATACGAATGGATTTTTGGTATTTATAATTTTTGCTTTTAAACAAATGTTTCATACATTTATATAAATAGTAAACAATTCATTTTTTTTAAACATTATTACTCATATTTATGTTTTATATAGGTACCTAAAATTATTCTTAATACATTACATATTCGTACATAATAAACGAAACCACGGAGGCTCGTTACAGAAATAATTTCAAGGGTAGTTTATAAGCCACACTCAGTGAAAATAACAAATTTAATTTTATAATATGTATATAAGAAAAATATTTTTTCTTTTAACATTTGTGGTGGGGTTCAGGAATCCCTCTGTATAGATAAAAAAAATATGCCCACTATCATATACAGGAAACAATCTTCACAGTTTAAAATAAATTATATTATGAAATCATCAATAGGTATGTCATATGCAAAATAAAAAAATAATAAAACCAATAAGTACCTAAGTAAAAATGTTTAGTATTAAGTGAATCTAGAAAACTATAATTTTATAATTTATAGCCTAAGTTAAATTAAATACTGAAAATGTACTTATATTAATTAGCATGAAGATTATAAAATAGCTACACAATAATATTATTAATTACATTTACACAATATATTACATTTTGTGTATAAATGAAATAATACAAACTCTAAACTGTCTAAACAGTTTAAAGTTGTAAACCCAAAATATCAATTTTGATATTGTGCAGATTGTCCATTAATTTTTTTTTAAGCGATAGCCACTGCCCAGAGCCCAGTATGTTTTTTATATAATTTGAGTTCGTTTGTACTATTTTAAAATATTGTAAACGCCATCGTCAATAACCACAATAGTGCGAATCACGTATATGTCTCTGTACAGAAATGCATAAAAGTTACAATATATATTTATGTACTTCACTCTATTATTAGTTTGAATTTCAGCCAGCTATGCGAAATGTTATTGCTTGTATTCTCGAAAGTACATAATATATAACTGATAATTGAACATTTTTTTTGAGAATAATTCATATATTATTAATTTGAACCAAATTCGTGTTAGATAACTGTACATCAACCAAAGAAAAAACATAGAAAACACATTGAATGAGTGAAACAAAAATGTAACTGCCATTCACTGATATCTGTATAATAATGACAAATTAAAAATTAGTACCAAACGGCAAACAATCATAATATAATAATATAAGAAATGTGTGTATTAATATTATATTTTATGACGATAATGTGCATAATAAAATATATTATGATACACGTTGTTACATAAGACATGACGTCGTGTACTATGTATAGAGTTTGTCAATAATTTAAAAAAGATCACATATTCTGTTTTCACCTTACAATACTAATAATTATACTTATCGAGCCCGCGTCAGTTATATACAACTTGTTATACGTAAGTCGATGCTATATAGTGTTCGATTGCGGATAATAATAATGTTTATAAAAAGTAAAAACGTACGCAATAAGATAACATAAGCAGTGACTAATGTGTGTGTGTGTTGTGTGTATACGTATAACAGTTCCCGTTGGCTACCTCTGCAGCAGTTGCCAACGCGTGGACCAACTTAGGCGGTGAAAGTTACATGGATTGTTTTTTTTTTTTAAAGACGAGACTTGTTACACAATCGACAACGTCGTAAATCATTCTCGAAAATCATTCGGTGATTTAGGTCCCCACCCCTCCAGCATCACGCTGTACATACCTACATAAACATCACGCGCCTGCAGATAGATATATTATTATGTGGTTACCTTAAACGCACACAAACATAAATACATCAAGCTGCGGCGATACCGAGTATATAATGACAATAATAATAATAATAATAATAATAATAATAATAATGTATAATTACTCAATTTCTTATTGAAATCTTACTATAATATTGACGTGTGCCATAGCAAAATAAAAAAAAAGTCAGACGACCTTGACCCGTTTGGTATTGAAAGTGCTAGATTGACAAAAGATTGAACGAATTTAACAAGGAATGCGTATATTAACCTACAGTGATAAAGCGTAAAGTTCGCACTTTTGCACAACATAAATGCCCAATGACGAATAATTTTTATCAAAATAACAAAACTCTAAACAAACAGCTATTATATAATAGGTGTGAAGGTTTACTTATTAGCAAAATTATGTTTATGTTACGATTCGAGTCAGTTAACTATAATCATTGAAATGTTACGCAGTACAAATCGAAAAACGCACGCAACGCATGGCTTACGATAACAATGTATATATAATAACTGTTATGATAAATGATATTAAGGTTTTAATGTACAACAAATATATGTATAGAATTAGAGTATCTGTCAAACCGTCCATAACTTCGTTTAAAATAACTTAAATTTAGTACCCTGGAAAATAATATTTTAAATACACTTTACACAGGTATACGAAACTCATAAAATACTTGTTTTGAATTTTGCAAATATAATTTTAAAATATCTAGACCCGAGGACAAATAGCTGTACCGTTTAAGAATACTACGTATTGTATAAGGTAATACCAAGGTATACTATCGTATAGCGTGTGCTGTCACTGTTGTATAATGTTAACGACGATAAAACATAATGATATCTGAAAAGTTCAATGAATAATATATTCCAATGAAAGTAAAATTAAATTTGACTTTAACGATAAACATAGTTAAAACCCCGAGTTGTTCTCGAGAATAAAAATACGTGAGCTATAGTTGATAGAATGTTGAAATAATCACTGCGCGTTTATGACTTACGAGATAATAACACTATAACAGATGTCTTATAAATATCAAGATCTTCTAAATAAGCAACAAAATATAGTATGCCTAGAACATAATATTATAACATACTTTCTTTCCATTGTTAAATAAAACAAAAAAATAATGGTAGTCAGTTATATAAATTGAGGTTTACAAATTGTTGACTAATTATACATATTATTACAACAAAAAATATCATGTCTTTTTAATACGTAAAAAATAAAAGTATAAGAATTCACACTTACTGTGGGGTATTTTTTACCTGGACGTTTTTTAATAATAAAATACATAATGATATTAAAAAAAACGTAAAATTGTCTAATGATTAAGGACGATAATTGTATCAAACAATAATTGCACTAAAATACTCTCGTATTATATTATAATATCGAGTATCATATTAATAATTAATATCATATTTTTACTTATTATTACAAACAAATTTTGCATAAAAGTTCGAATTCAAATTTAAATGAACACAAAAAAACTTAATATTTTATAATTGATTAAATATATTGTGATATACATAGACATATTAAATATTAAGAAATATAATATCATCAAAATCGTTACCGTATATTTTTGTATATAAAAAAACAAATATACGACAGTTAAGTATAATACTTAATACTCATAATAATTATTACATGCATTTTTATCTCATATAGATCGCTTTATTTTCACGTCATTTTTTTAAGCAATTCTTTTATCGCACTGTCGCGGCCGTAGATAATATGCAGCAGCAATTCGTCACCACACGATGGCATTAACATTAAACAGACTACGGAGTACGGACTCATGATTGATATAATATACAAGGCTGACATTTTGATTTCCTGATGGCTAATCGTTATTATTTATTATTCTGAAGATCACATAGATTTTCATGCAATAGTCGTTGCGATGAATACAATATTACCTAAGTAAGAAGAAAAAATAATAATTTCCCAATAAATTCGTTTTTGGATTAGAAAGATAAAGACGAATGACTTCCATTAAGCAACAAATAACAAATATAAACGAAGGCTTATGTCGACCATTAATTGATTTTTAAATGTGTGATATGTGGATTGAAAAAATAAACATTTACAATTTATTCCGGTATCAATTTGCTCACTTTAATATGATTTAAACTTTTTTATTTCGTGGACTGGTCAGATTTCTATTATGGAGGAAGTAATGCTTAATGTAATCCAAAATATTGCACAATATTATAATAGTAATACATTAAGATCACACACATTATACTCACCTTAAACTAAAAATAAACTATTAGATATAATTTCTAGTATCTACAAGGCATTTTAGGCATTGTAGTTCGCTACCTACTTAAATAATTTAATTTCGATTTATACTGATTATTTTTTAACACGGCTTTAGGAATAGGCAATTTTCATACACGAATGACATAATGAAATAATATAACCATAGTTATTATTATTATAATTTGTAACAGAGATAATTGCTTGTTTATGTAATCGTAGAATAATATTAAATCCATGACTTGGAATGGGACTACTGCAGTAATAATATTGTAATACATTTTTCATTTATTAGGTATATACTATATATATATATTTCTGAGATCTATTATTTAGTAAGATTAAATTCAAACGGAGAAAAATAACTTATTATTATTTACTAATTTGTTATATAAATACAATTTTAATATTAAATTATATTTATTCGTAAATGCATGAAAATTTAAAAAAGAGGAATGATGAAATTACAAAAACAATTAATGTTATACAGTTGGCATACTTTTCATCAATGATAGATGTGTATATTTCATATGATTTTGAAATATCTTTTTCTCATTTGTATGAGGCGGTAATTTAACTTCACGACGCGGAACCGCAATGTATACCTATATAAATTAATTATTACATAAAAATAAGGTCGAAATTGCTCATCCGGGATCTATGACGTATTGACGTTAACATTATTTAGCTCGGAGCAGCCAATGAAGGGTTGTAGAGTTGAAATTCGTACATAGATCCCATGGGCCATGGTCCACGAACTAGGTGCATTATGGCCCGCGTTTGTTTGTTTTTCTCAAAAAGCAAAAACTATATTCGGAGGCCGAGTCTACGCGTTAAAAAAGGTTAAATCAAAACGCAAATAATTCCGGAAGGCTTAAACTTCTCACGAAAAGCAGAGAGTTTTCCATACTATTCACCTCTCCGTGGATGTCACCCGAATACTCAAATCTTACCCGTACATATAAAACTAATGGTTACTTGTCTAGTGAATTATTCTCCGTGTTGTTGTACAATTAATAGAATAATACCTACATAAACTATTTTTTTGCATTTCATTACTTACCTTTTTACCTCGTATAAACTCATATCTCATAAGCATATTAGCCATTAGGCGTATTAACACTATTAACGTATATGCAGCCATGCAGGCATGATGTCTAGTCTACAACGACCTATACAGAGATGTTTGGGTGATGACTTTTTTTTCTTTTGTCAATTGGGCCTGCCTCCGAGTCTTCCTTCTTTCAAAGGTGGCAACCCTAACTGCGACTTTTGTGACTTGTTATATTCTAATTGAAACCATTCCCGCCCCAAAACAAGCCCGTTCCTGCAGGGGCACCAGCAGAAAAACAACTCAGTGAGTGCAAAATTAAATGTATGTGATATACATATATCGGTAGTTACATATTTACATCATTATACACTGATTTTTTGGTTCATAAAAAACATCCCGGTGGGTGCGATGGCACCCTCTGGCCCTTCTCTACGGGCGTCCCTGCCCGTCCCGACTTTATATACTTAAATGTCTAATTAAATATTTATTGTAATAATATATTGTATAGTGTCGGTTCGCGTTCTGCAATCGTTATGTATTATCGTGAAGTCATTAATATTATTAAAAAAAAGTTGTAATATTAACGTGTGAGACGGCCGCGGCGGTGGTCACGGACTTATCGTTTTTCGGTTTGCGGTTCGCTAAACCGCCTCGTGGCAGATCGACTGTTTTGTGAGAGGAGAGTGTGCTACAGACGCCGCCGCCGTCATCATCGTCGTAGCCGTTCGCGTCCGTCATCATTAGTGTCGACTGTCGAGAAAAAACGAAACCAGACGCACCGCAACGACTATATATGCGCGCGCACGCTAATTAAAACAGTCCCGGTTACGAAACTTGTAAACTTGTATAGGACACATTCGGTCAAAATTTATTATGATAATAATATTACACGCTTATCTGCTGTACGATAATATAATAATAAATAATAGTAATAATAATAATAATGAAATAAACGCCGGGCCGATGGTATTGCACTAATGGTTTTACACTTTTACCATAACAAACAAATGTGTATAGTACAAAACGCTATACTAAAATTAATGGTGTACCTATATTGGTTACTATTGAATTGGTATGTCATTAAACTTTGAAGAGTATATCAAAAGAATTTTATATATTACGAGAAAACCCCGGGTGACATTAGAAAATTTGTTTCTATAATTCATTATTTTTTAACTTTTTCTTATACTACAAAATACCATAAGGTTTTGGATTTTGTTTAATATTTTAGGATTTTAGAATCTTGCAACTATGATTCAATAATTTTTAAGCGCCGAGAATCGAGATCTGAACTTAAAACACCTGTAATTATTTTACAGGGTGATTTTTAAAATATGAACATCGTGTATTATTTTATCAGTCGACTTTTGTAATTTTATTTTTAATAACGACTTATATTTTAATTACATAATATGACACAGAATATAGTTAATAGTTTTCTATAAATACTTGAAGGTAAAAATATTTAAAAAGCTAATTTTTACTCTTCAACAAAACTTTTTAATAATACCGTGTTTTTGCTAATTTATACTCAAGATGACATCGACGTTTATTATTATAATTACTTTTGTCCGATAAGTTTTTTACCACCCATAATAAGTATTTAATATCATAGTTATTACTTATTTTTAGTAAAAAAAGTTTTTGTGTAAAATAAATTACAAGTTATAATTATTTTATGAATTTGTACAACTTTTTTTGCATTAATATGAAGAATCAGTTTTCACATTTAGTTAATATCATATTTATTTTTAATGAAAAATAATATTTTATTTACTAATATATTATTATTGTGTAACTAAAACAACAATTTTTGTTTCGCATAGTTAAATTGCAATACATTTGTTTGCAAATGTTATCTTCAATTTTAACTTCCAATAACATTTTATCCTAATATTATAGTTAATAATAGTAAGCAAAATTTTTAAAATATAAATTTTGATTTACATGCTGTTTATCATAATACATTTGATTATAGGTACTTATAAACATTGATCTGTATTCATATTTTATCAAAATCGTACAATATTATTTGCATCACGGATATAACCCAGAAGTACGCTACCTAGTAAGAAACTCAAAATTCGCATTCATACGACGTGCTATTGGCTAATAAAGATATGTGTCGTTAATAATTCATCAACCAGTATGCATGTATTATGATAACATTATTATATCTAACCTAACCTTTACAAGGATCAAATAAATCGAATCCGTATTTCCGTGTTATAAACGTAGGTGCATTGTACATACTACATAAATACATAAATATATAATTACTTGCATGAATGCCAATATTTATAGTAACTCAAATCCCTCAATGGAAAAATTTAAAAAAATTTAAATTATCGATTAACTTCAATCGTTAAAAATATAGGTATCTTCGATCTAGTTATTTCACCATTTAAATTTGTGAAATTAAAATAAACCTATCATTAGGTGTCCATTTCATACAACCATTATCTACAATATATAGGTATGATATGTATATTTACACAATTATATCATACAGCTTATTTGTTTCATTTAGTTTTTTCTCTAACTGTATTATATTATAAATATTTTGTTGATCTTATTAAATTGGGTCAACAATAATAAAATAATTTCGGGTTATAATGTATAATATTTCAGGTACCTATGTACCTTGTGACCAGAAAAAAATCATTACGAAGACAAATATGAGTTAATAAACTACCTACGATATCATAATATAACGACGATTGTTGCCTGTCGGGAGCTCTAATAATAATTAGCAATTTATAAATATGCACAAAAAGTGACTTAAAACATAATATTGAATTGTATTTAGCCGTTATACGAGTTAATACGCGTCGCTGTAATATAAAAACGAAGACAAATAATAATTATAAATCATTATCTGACGCGGATATATCAAAGATGTATATAATATATTGAAGAGAAATTGTTCCAACTGTTCTGAGTCTAACAACCTTACACACACAGCAATAGTTGAAAAATATAAATATTTTCAAAAAATTTTTATTCACTCGGTTTTGGCAATATTTCAAACACATATTATTATCAATTATAATAAAGTGCATAATTAGCTACAGTAAGATTTAGAGCTACATTTGGTTTGGTTAATTGAAATCTAACCTAAGTTGACTTTAAAAACCGACTTGAACGAATCCAAAGACTTTGACTTTGTTTAATTGCTCATAAAATTCTCATGGTATGTAAGCCATTTGAGGAATTCAGCATAAAAATATGATCAAATCCCAACTTCATAGTCAAGGCGGCAATAATAGGTAAACATGGATTTAATGCGTATTCAAGAATTAATAGCAATACAATTGATTGCCCAAAACTCGTAGAATATACTAATTTTAAAGTAGGTATCTACAGCTATAACGTCTGTAATCCACAACTATTTTTTACTGATTTTGGTAAAAATAATTTCATTAAATACAACCCATTAAACCACTTGTAAATGTCTTGTAGTAACATCTCTAATTTTGAATTATTTTATGATAGGGATAACAATTAAAAATGATATGGCTGTATGAGACACTAATATTGAATTTTAACATTAATTTATAATCTTATCTAGTCTACAACTATAAATTAATATTTATTTATCTCACATTATAGGTGTATATAGTATATATTATATGTATATTTATATCATTCCTGAAGCTATTAATAAATTGTACACGTGCTGCAATATTATTCTCCGACTAATAACTGTTTTACGCGCTGCACTACATTGTTATGTAGACTACATAACCCCTCGACGGTATCTCATGAAATAGAAATAATAGAAATAATATCATACCTTCATTAGGGCGAATCTCTGATCATCGCTCAGATCCAAATCGGTTCTTCTAGACATATTTCGTGTGATATTTTGCAGTAAGTCGACGGTTAAATTGAATGACGTGCAGCCTTACGAAACGGACAACTGTGATAATATGCCAACAAAATATTATAACTTCTGAGACCGGCGTATGAAATGAAAACGGAACCTTATTCACATTCACCGCGGAGTGTACTCCGTGCGAACTGCCGACCGATGGACGACGCGACGGCAGCGGCGGCGGTCAACCAAAGGAAATGCAAACGAGGAACTCTTTGCCCTACCACCGCGTACACCTAAAATAATAATAATAATATTATCTATTTGCTGCACTGTTGGGGTGACCTTAACACACTAATATCAAACGCAGATACAAAATGTGTATATTATAGACGGGGGTATAAATGCAATAATATGTGCGTAGTGGTGTGTGTATATTTGCTTATATACATAGTTTAAGAATATCATAAAATAATTTTAAAAAAAAAATAATAATAGACGACAGAAAATGACTTATATATTCACGTACAGGTCGTGATAATATATTTAGTCATCGAAAATGCCTGTAATTTATGTACATTAATAGCTGCCATGTCCGTGTGCAATGTGCTTGTATGCTAATTTAAAGTACCTACAATAGTATTACAAGATTCTGCACGAAGGGCGTGCAGCAATAAGGAAAACATAATATTATACTTAGGTACCTATATTATGGTATACATATTAATTAGGTGTGATATTTTAGCATATTTTGTAAACATCTACTTGTTTGTAGTTATTGTTATATTTTATTACACTATAGTGTAAATGTCGTTTTATGTTAAAAAGGTGTTTTAACATAAAACGTACCTACTACCTAGGTGTGCATAAATCGTCTGTGGAAAATCGATGAAAAGGAAAATTGATAATATAGCTTAACATAATATAGTTGGTAGGTAAATATAACATGCATTACTATTATATATCTAGGATATTCAGAAAGCATATTAAATATTAAACCATTTATAGTTTTGTATACTAATATAGTAATATATGTACCCTAATAATCGTGTAGTAAAAATAATGCATACCTACCTACCTATATTAAAAAACTAGCTGAATCGCCCGGCTTCACCCGTGTGTGGTTTTGTTTTTTTCATATTTACAATATATCCCTATAACTTCTCTGAACAATACTTATCTACACGACGGACAAAAAGGATAGGTTGCAGGTGGCTGGAAAGTGGAAACCCGTAGTGGGCTGCCATGAGCCCGTGCCGTGCAGCACAATACCTACGTATTGGCGATGAATAACTATAATTGTTAATTACTCCACTAAAACGCAACATTTTTGAAAATCCTTTCGTATTGCACGGTGAAAATATGAGAAGAACCTCTATACCAAATTTCAAGTTCGTACGTTGCATAGTTTTTGAGTTACAGCGATCAGTGACTAAGTGGCATTTGGATTTTATATGTTTAGATGTCCAATTAAAAAATATAGAATTTACAGTCTTACATTTTTTTTCTTATTTTTGTATAATATTATACATTCAAGGAAAAAAGATACTATATCTATAAGATAACTTGTTATTATAATATTGTTATCATAATTAATTGATTGTTTATTATTATTGAAATTGCTATATTTTATTTTTAATTATAAGATGTATTACCTATACAGTATGTCCGTAGCACCAAGTTCAGATGACCTTGTCAGAAAAACTTTAAAATATTACAAAAAGATATTCAACACACGAAATGAATATTGAAATGAGGAAGAGATTGGTTTCAATATAGTGAGCCAGTGAGGTTGAGTAATTTAAAATTTAAATCCACAGATATTATATAGAATAATATGTAAACGTATATTCTGTATAATAATTTATATTTATTATTTATATCTATGTTTAAATTCGTTGTTGAATCACGACTGGATAGTCTGGATACCAAGTACCAACTTCAGCCATGCCCAGGGTTGCTACCCGTCCCGTCTTTCATATTGTGACAGTCCTGTTTTAAATAAATCTGTTCCGCGTCCCGTGTTAATAAAAAACGGTAAACATTTAATCCTGTATTCGACAATATCTAGAATAATAAAAAAAAAAATTATCTTAAGAACTTATTGATGTTTTAATTGATTGTCCCGCATTCGGCACTTGGAAAGGTGGTAACCCTGTGGCCATGCTCCATTTCCCTGCAATATAAAAACATCACAACCATAGAACCTTTTACTGAGTATAAGGTCCAATATGATCAATTCACAACAACTTCTCTTCGTAAAACTTTATACAGCAGATTGTTTATCAAAATAAAAACGTATGCGAAAAAAAGTTATTTAAATTTTCAAAAATCTCTAATATTTATGACTATTATTTAATTTATCGTATATTTGTCTAAGACTTTTTTTTTGTATAAATTGTTATAAACTGAATATTTATAATATGTATAAATTAACACTCAGTAAATCTAAAAAAAAATTTTGTTTTTGTTAACTAACAATGTTATACATTAATTATAATATGCACTTTGCACTTAATATTTTGCAAGAAACTAAATGATTATTGTAATATTTATTATAAGTCTATTAATTATCTTTAAGCCTATACATTTAGATTTAGCCTAGTATATTATTTATATTTGCTTAGCCAAATTCGACCAAAGATTGTTTAAATCGTTATTTATGTCATGATCTATGAGTATAGACGATACCTATTTCTTAATATGATATATCTAAAAATCTATTGAATTATTTTTCTTATTTCCTAACGATTTTTGATACATAATATTATAATACAATAGGATTTGAATACCTCAATAGTTTCTTATAACTATAACTTATAACTTCTATAGGCTTATAGGTTGGTTTAATAACTAATTAACTGCGTAGGTACATACTTGATATTTTCAATTACACTAAAATACAAAACATGACCATGACGAATAAAATTCATGTAGTAAGTAGATAATACGATGTACGACTACAATAATTATAGCTCATCCCAACATTCTAATGATGCGATTATTATTATGTGCATTGTTCAATCATAATATAACGTCTTTATGATTATGATAGTGTAATATGATAGGTACATTTTGGTCAAGGTACCTACGGAACAGTATACTATTAATTGTGTTTTTCTTTTGAAATTTGTAAGAACGCAATTACATAAGGAATAAGCAGGATAGTAGAGAGATCGACGGTCACTGTAAATTTGTATATATATGCATCAGTAATATAACTGCTAACGTATAACCATGGTTAGGTGCAGCTAAAGAAAACACAGAAAATTATAAATTTTTGAAGATGTATAAACGAATGCTATTTTATTTGACTATCTATACTATAGATATGTATTTTTTAAACACAAATTTATCCTTATCTTATAAAGTGACGTTCTTCATAAAAAAAACTAAAAAGTTTCAAAAAAGTTTTTTTCTATCGAGGGCAAAAGGTTTGATGAAACCTTGCTTTTCTTTGTTTTATTTTGAAGGCTCTTGGCCGAATATAGAGACTTTGGCGTTTTTCTCTCTGTTTTCGCCGTTTTTGTTGGTACTGTGTGTTGGGCCCGTACTTTGTAGTCGTAATCTGGTTTGTTGATGTTTCGTTTATTTGGAAGAGAGGTTTGTGTTCTGTTATTTGAGAATGTGTTGTTGTTTTCTGATGTTCGAGCTAATTGTTGGAGATGTGGAAACCTGCAGTGGAACCTGTGGCTGGACTGGTCCATTTATTTAATGTATGTTTAGGTTTTTGAGGGAAAGAGTATCAATCGAATAATATTAAAACTAGGCTTGACAATTTACGGAAATGGTAAACTATAAGTATTTGTGAAAAAAAATGTTTATTTTTTGTAGAAAATACGTGTTTATATGGTCCAATCCATGTTATTTGATTCTGTGGAGGAAGAAGTTTTGTTCGAACTTCAAAACTTCGCATGCATATTGAGCCAAATTCGTTGCTAAGTACCTATTCACAAAAAAAAAGTTTCAAAAGTATCAATTTTTATATAACTTAGCGAGACTGGATTGGCCGATGGTGGACGAGACCAGTCCATGTGTTTTACGTATTTTTGATTTCTACTCTATTTAATACTGTTTCATATGTACCTATTGGCTATTGCATATTATTATTGTTCACATTATTTTATTCGTAAATAATAAGTTGTCGTTATATTGTCTAGAATATCACAGGTTGTAAAATGTTTTGAACGACTTATGTTGAAAAATAATGTTATTAACATACCATTCTTCTTTACGTCATGCTGGAAGCACGTCGTTTGTCATTGTTACTCTCATTTTGTAATTTGTGTCTGGGGCAGTGCGGCTTGGGTCTTCACCACTATATTATCTGGCATAAACTTATGCGTTTGTCTGTGGAATTCTAACTGTGGCCCACGCATCCAATACTATCAGTTTTAACTTCAATTTGTAATTTGTTTTAATGTGAATTTAAAAATGACGCAGAACTAATGCTCAAACAATTTTGTGAACAAAATAGTTCTTAAAGCACATTATTCATAAAACTACACTGCGTTATTATATTATTATCTGAAAAATAGTAAAACTATGATCTGTTATTTTCAACAGATACTCATGGTGGTATGAAACGCATATACTATATGTGGTTAAGTGGTTTTGATTGTTTTTTATTTTTACATTAAAAAAAATATTAACTCTTCAAAGACCTTATCCCGAATACTAATATTTAATGTGTATACAACAACATCTTTCAACCTTTCGTAATACTCGACAAACAACATGTATTATATTGTTATGTATGTTCTTGCAAGACTATATACAATCATAACACCGCTTCACGAATCACGGATGAATAGGTGACAATATGTAATGATTAATATAATTATATTATATTAGTTATTATTAAATAATTGTATAAGTATTAAAATTAAAGTTACGTTTTAATTACCTACCTACATTTTACGCATTCATATCTAATAGAAACCAACACCGAATAAATTTAAACAAATTGGTCTACGGGTGGTCGGTGTATGTACCTACCATATTTAAAATATTGTTTTAAATTTTTGAACATTCACAGGTTATAACCTATAAGCTATAACAATAGATTTGCAAAATTACATCACAGCGTTATTATACCCAATGTAAACACTAAGTTACTAAATTGTTAAATGCCGAATGCGTACATGTTCGTTCTTGAACTAACACTTATACATATATAAAGACTTAAACAAACCTCCAACAATGATGAGTAAATAATTGAAACTTCCAAATTATACCATAATATTCAAGTTTTTTAAGATAAACCCAT